AATATCATTTACAACAGCATCCAAAAACAATCTATTGGTGGGAATAAATTTAATAAAAAATGTGTAAGGAAAAAAACAAACAAACAAAAATGTGTAAGAGCTGTACACAGAAAACTACAAAATACTGCTGAGAGAAGTTCAAGATCCAAATAATGGAAAGATATACTATAATGGTATATATATATCAGCACAAACACACACACACACACATATATGTGTGATATCTCCATTAATCCATGTGAAAGAACTAGAAGACTCAATATTATTAAGATTAACTTCTCCCCAAATTGATCCAATATTTTATATAATCCAAAACAAAATTACAGCAGGCTTTTTTTGAGGAACTGTCACAAAACAGTGTGAACTGATGAATAGACATTAGTGTAACAGATACTGACCCTCACAAAAAGTCAAATGATTTGTGACAAGTTGCCAAAGTAATTCAATGGGGAAAGGAAAATTTTTTCAACAAATGGTGCTGGACAGCTGGTTACTCACATGGAATAAAAAGTGAACCTAGGACTTCCTTGGTGATCCTGTGGTTAAAAATCCACCTGCCAATGCAGAAGACACAGGTTCGATCTCTGGTCCCAGCATCACACTATGGAGCCTGCACTCTAGAGCCCACTAGCCACAACTACTGAAGCTTGCAGCCCCTAGAGCCTGTGCTCCAGCACTGCAATGAGAAACTCGCGCACCCCACTTGCCACAACTAGAGAAAGCCTATGCAAAAATGAAAGCCAACTGCAGCCCAAAAAAGTGAAACCAGACTCACAGCTTATGAAAAATTAATTAGAGATGGCTCACAGACCACCTGATGTGAAGAGCCAACTCACTGGAAAAAGACCCTGATTCTGGGAAAGATTGAAGGCAGGAGGAGAAAGGGACCACAGAGGACAAGACGGTTGGATGGCATCACTGACTCAATGAACATAAGTTTGAGCAAGCTCTGGGAGATGGTAAAGGACAGGAAGGCCTGGTTTGCTGCAGTCTGACTGGGTTTTGCAGTCGAAAGAGTCGGACACAACTGAGCAACTGAACAACACAGACCTAAACACAAAACTGAATCTATTAACTTTCTACAAGAAATTACAGGAGATTATCTTTGTGATTTTTGATTGTGTGCATGCATGCTCAGTCGCTTCAGTTGTGTCCGACTCTGTGTGACCCTATGGACTATAGCCTGCCAGGCTCCTCTGTCCATGGGATTCTCCAGGCAAGAATACTGGAGTGGGTTGCCATGCTCTCCTCCAGGGGATCTTCCCGACCCAAGGATCGCACCCATGTCTCTTCTGTCTACCTGCATCGGCAGGCAGGTTCTTTACCATGAGCACCACCTAGTAAGCCCATGATTTTTGGTTAGGCAAAGATTTTTAAATAGAACACAGAAAGCATGAACCAAAAAAGAAAAACTGATAAAATGAACTTCAACAATATTAAACACTTTTGCTCATTAAAATTCACCATTATGGTGGATATAGTCTATGCATTTGCCAAAACCCACAGAAAGTTATAACATAGCGTATACTTTAATATACGCAAAAAAATCAACAACACCCACCAGGGATGTCAGGATGGAAAGCAGACTGTGACCACCGAATCTAACTGTATCACAACGTATGACAGTAACACACAGGAGGGGAGATGAGAGTGTTTAGAAAACACTCTTTAGAAACTGTTAAGACCAATGATAAGAAGAAACAGAATATAAAACATGGTACTCAAGTTGATAATTTTGTTTCTTAAGGTGGGGAGGTATATTGGTGAACAGTTCTGAAACTGCCTTCTAAATACACTGGGGTGGGACAAATAAGAAAATGACGGCAATGGTGGTGAGAAGGTTACACATAAGCACTTTTGTTACAGATCACAGGTTACAGACACACAGGTGAACAGGTATATACTTACCTATCTGCTAAGAGGCCTACAAGCAATGACACCCCAGCAGCAATGCCCACAAACCACTGCCTGGTTCCTGGTCTCTAAATCCCACTCTCCAATGAAATGAACTAGCGCTCCTTGGAGAGCTGTGGCAGGAACACTACGAGAGGAAGAGAAGCTGGAGTGGTTGGCAGTGTGAGAAAGGGAAGAAGTTCTTAAAAGTAGGATCTGGGGGTTGATGATGTCCTGGTGGTTAAGGCTGGAACAGGTGAGCAGCCAGACAAACAGCACGGAGCTGGGTCCCCTCCAGAGTGCAGACACACACGCACAAGTCCGTCCTCCTCATGGAAATTCCAGACCACACGGTGGGTCTTCCCTGAGCTTAGCTTCCACCCTCAGGAGGGTGGGCTGCCTCCATGAGTGGCTGCCAAAGAGACCAGAGAACAGGACAAGGAGCAACCCTCCTTGGCAGACACCACCTGAGCCAGGTGGCCAGGCTGACAGCCCCCATGATGTTGTACAAATGTCAGCTGCCCTGATGTGATGTGACAAGAGGGCCACCTCACTTCTGGGGTCCTCTTTCCAAAAACCCACAACCCCTGTCCAACCAGGAGAAAACACAGCAAACCCCAAACCAGGAGCATGCTACAAACACCAGAGGAGGCCTCCTCATAGCTGTCAAGGCCACGGAAAGGTAGGATCCTGGATGGGATCCAGGGCAGAAAGAGGACCCTGGGGCAGCATATGACCTGAAGCCTGGAGTGCTGGGAACAGTAACAGAGCACTGTCCTGTTTTAGCTTCCACAAATGTGCTTCGGTTTACAATTTTTCTGTAAATCTAAAACTACTCCAAAAGATTTTAAGTTAATTTTTAAAAGACATCATTAATAATGTGAATAGGCAAGTTCAAACAATGGAAGGTAATATCTATCTATCTGTATTAAACCCCAGTGTCCTGCATTATAGGTAGATTCTTTACCAACTGAGCCAGGGCTTCCCAGGTAGCAGTAGTGGTAAATAATCCGCCTGCCAACGCAGGAAACACAAGAACTGTGGGTTCAGTCCCTGGGGTGGGAAGATCCCCCGGAGTAGGAAATGGCAAGCTGATCCAGAATTCTTGCCTGGGAAATCACATGGATGGAGGAACCTGGCAGGCTACAGTCTGTGAGATCGTAAAGAGTTGGACATGACTGAGCGCGCACGCGCACACACACACACACACACACACACACACACACACACACACACACACACACACACACACACACACACACACACACACACACACACACACACACACACACACACACACACACACACACACACACACCTGTCTCGGCTTGTATCCAGAGACCTAAAGGACCTGCTCAGATGCCTTGAGTGGGTGCCACAGGCCCAGCATCAGTGTTCAAGCACATGCAAATGGAAGACAAAAGCAAACACTTCTCTGCCCACCAGGCCCACACGGCAGTCTCATGCCCACAGAACACACTTGGAAGAATGTGCACAACTCTGTCACCCAAGGCAATGCCAGGAACCCACCCAAGTGCCCTCCAGGGACAGGGATCATGCTGAAGACAACCAAGGCCACTCCACAGACCACAAGGTCTAACACAGCACCACAAAGGAACGTGGCAGAAGTCAGAAATGTGCCTGCTTCTGGGAGGCGGGTCTGGGAAGGCTTAGGAAGTCTCAGTCAGTGCAGGGCAGCATAGACAAGATGCTGCTCCTCACAGAACTGGGTCTGGGAGGCCAAAGATCCAGGTGCTGGCAGATCTGGGTTTGGTGAGGCCCTTTCTGGACTGCAGAAGGCTTCCTTCTCAAGATCCTCCAGGCCCTTCCTTGGTGTGCGAGCAGTTGTGCTCCTCCTGTTGCTAGGATATTGATCCCCTCATGGGCCCCACCTCACCCTGAGCACGCCCAAGGGCCCAGCTGTAGACACCATCACACAGGGGTCAGGGCTTCCACCTGACAATCCAGAGGACACGACACGAGGGAGCTTTAGGGATGACAGAAGTGTCCTCTATCACCATGATGTGCCGGCTACACAGCTGTATATATTTGTCAAAATTGGTCAAAGTGTATCTATGCACCTCACTTAATGTGAATTATACTTAATCATGAACTGAATAATTGCAATTCATTTTCAATTTTGAAAATCTTAGCCAAAAACCTAAGGAATTGGGTACACAAACTTCTTCAAGGTAATTAAAACTTGGGTGAGAATTTAAATTGTACCATGTTTTCTTTCACAACTAATTTTTCCTTAGAGGAATTGGTTTCAAGGAAGAAGTCACTGTGATTTCTGAACAAGTAACACTTAACGTATCCAGGGGGAATTATTCTGGTCCATCAACTTCCTGATGCTGAGAAAAGCTGAGGTCAAGAGGAGAAGGGGGCAACAGAGGATGAGATGGTTGGACAGCATCACTGACTTAATGGACATGTGTTTGAGCAAACTCAGGGAGATAGTGATGGACAGAGAAGCCTGGTGTGCTGCAGTTCATGGCATTACAAATAGTCGGATACGACTGAGCTACTGAACAACAACAACAATCAACTGGGGTTGGGTTGCTGGCCAGAAAACCACACGAAAGCCTTTCCAACAGGAGGCCCTGCCCGGGGGTTCACGATAGGAACGCACGCTTCGCCAACCTTCCCGGCGGCTGTGGCTGGAGAGCGAAGAGAGGCAGGGGGCCAACCGTTTGAAAGTTCACGTTGCTGATCTTTGCTTTTGCTTCTCCCGCTGGATCTCCAGATCATCAATGAGGCCACCGCTCGTCAGCTTCTCAGCAAGCAAAGGGCGCCGAGGCGGAACGTGGACAGAATGAGAACACAGACTCCTCGTTCACATGCTGCGCGTTCCGAAAATCCCTCCGCGCTCATGGAGGATAATCAGCGCAGTTACCGAACTGACCGCTATACAGAAAACACTCCAGGCTGCTGACACGCTCTGTGGCCTCAGCAGCGCCGAGACGGTGCTGCCGGAGGACCCCTGGAGACTTGCTGGAGGGGGTTCTTGGTCTTGGGGACGCAGGATTCTCAGTGACGCGGTGACCAGAGGGCGTTCTTCAAGTGAATTACCGGACAATTCACAGCTTACCTCGCGGAGCTGGGCAATGCAGGAGAGGCGGCAGCGCCCTCGGGGTGCCGGTGACCCCTCGAGGCGCGGCCGCTCCGCCTTTGGGAGGAGCGCCCGGGGCGGGGTGGGGCGCGCATGTGCCAGGAGAAACTTTCCGGAAAACCCGGGTTTTATTTCCTCCGAGGAGCTGGTGAGATCACTGTGGCGGTTCAGATTCCGGCTAACACAGACTGCTGTGGGGGTGCTGGGAGGAGCGGAGAAGGACGGGACCCAGCGCTACCCCCGGCGCCGCAGGGGCCCCGGAACAGGACAAAAGGGCCACCTGGGCGCTCGGGCACCTCCGAAGAGCGCGTTACCGCGAACGCGGCGCTGTGAGACGCGCGTCCGAACCCCGGTATCAAATAAACGGAAAATAAGCGTCAATTAAATCGTCCTGATGACGACGCACACAGACCCCGCTGAGCCACAGCGGACACTCTAGGGGCGATAAACCCACTCTCTGGCCCTCCCGCGCGGCGGAGGCGTCCGGAGCCGGTGACGGGGGCGGGGGCCGCGGAGAAGCAGAGTGGCCGTACCCCGCGCCCCCGCCCCACCCCGCCACTGAAGCCTTGCCGGGGGGCCGCACCCTGAGGGCCGCCCCAGCCCCCGGCCCGCCCCCGCGCGCCGCCCCCCCACCCCGGCCCCTCACTCACCCCCGCGCCCTTCGAGTTCCTCTTTCGTAACCCCCGCCCTCCAGGCGGTCGCGTTGTGCCCCCTGGGACTTGTAGTCTCTCCGCCACCCGAGCCAGAGCGCCAGGGAGCGTGGCTCCCAGCCCAAAACTACACCTCCCGGCGGTCCACGCTATAACCTGCCCGGTCAAGTGGGTGACAGCCCAGAGTTCTCGCGAGATCTAAGGGTGCGCGCAGCGCGACCTGGGAAATGTAGTCTAGGGCCCTGATCAATTCAGTTCAGTTCGGTTCAGTTGCTCAGTCGTGTCCGACTCTTTGCGACCCCCATGGACTGCAGCACACTAGGCTTCCCTGTCCATCATCAACTCCCGGAGCTTACTCAAACTCATGTCCATCAAGTCGGTGATACCATCCAACCATCTCATCCTCTGTCGTCCCCTTCTCCTGCCTTCAGTCTTTCCCAGCATCAGGGTTTTTTCCAATGAGTCAGTTCTTCACATCAGGTGGCCAAAAGATTGGAGTTTCAGCTTCAGCATCAGTCCTTCCAATGAACATTCAGGACTGATTTTCTTTAGGATTGACTAGTTGGATCTCCTTGTAGTCCAAGGGACTCTCAAGAGTCTTCTCCAACACCACAGTTCAAAATCATCAATTCTTCCGCGCTCAGCTTTCTTTATAGTCCAACTCTCACATCCATATATAACTACTGGAAAAACCATAGCTTCGACTAGACAGACCTTTGTTGGCAAAGTAATGTCTGCTTTTTAATATGCTGTCTAGGTTGGTCATAGTTTTTCTTTCAAGGAGCAAGCATCTTTTAATTTCATGGCTGCGGTCACCATCTGCAGTGATTTTGGAGCCTGAAAAAATTAAGTCTCCGTTTCCATTGTTTCCCCATCTATTTGCCATGAGGTGATGGGACCGGATGCCATGATCTTAATTTTCTGAATGTTGAGTTTTAAGCCAACTTTTTCACTCTCCTCTTTCACTTTCATCAAGGGGGTCTTTAGTTCCTCTTTGCTTTCTGCCATAAGAGTGGTGTCATCTGCATATCTGAGGTTATTGATATTTCTCCTGGCAATCATGATTCCAGCCTGTGCTTCATCCAGACCTGCATTTCACATGATGTACTCAGCATATAAGTTAAATAAGCAGGGTGACAATATATAGCCTTGACGTACTCCTTTCCCAATTTGGAACCAGTCTGTTGTTCCATGTCCAGTTCTAACTGTTGCTTCCTGACCTGCATACAGATTTCTCAGGAGGCAGGTAAGGTGGTCTTCTATTCCCATCTCTTTAAGAATTTTCCACAGTTTATTGTGATCCACACAGTCAAAGGGTTTAGTGTGGTCAATAAAACAGAAGTAGATGTTTTTTTCTGGAATTCTCTTGCTTTTTTTATGATCCAGCGGATGTTGGCAGTTTGATCTCTGGTTCCTCTGCCTTTTCTAAATTCATCTTGAACATCTGGGAGTTCTTAGTTCACGTACTGTTGAAGCCCAGCTTGGAGAATTTTGAGCATTACTTTGCTAGAGTGTGAGATGAGTGCAATTGTGCAGCTTTTGAACATTCTTTGGCATTGCCTTTCTTTGGGATTGGGATGAAAACTGATCTTTTTCAGTCCTGAGGCCACTGCTGAGTTTTCCAAATTTGCTGGCATATTGAGTGCAGCACTTTCACAGCATCATCATTTAGGATTTGAAATAGCTCAACTGGAATTCCACCACCTCCACCATCTTTGTTGGTAGTGATGATGCTTCCTAAGGCTCACTTGACTTTGCATTCCAGGCTGTCTGGCTCTAGGTAAGTTATTATACCACCGTGGTTATCTGGGTCATGAAGATCTTTTTTGTATAGTTCTGTGTATTTTTGCCATGTCTTCTAATATCTCAGGGCCCTGATAGAGTAGCAGAAGCAAGGGGGGGGGGGCCCACGCTGCCCAGAATCTCTCGCGCAGCTGTCTCTGGTGTTGCCAGGAGACTGGGGATCCAGGCTGTCAGTGCCTGGACTTCTGGCTCCCGGAGTTGGGGGGCCCGAAACCCCTCTGCGGACACTCAGCCAGACTTCTCGTCGGTGTCCAGCGGGGTAGTGATTCCCGAGACAGCATGGGATTACACAGATGTGTCCCGGAGTGTGACACCAGACTGCGAGCAGGGTCCCCGCAGGTCTCTGGACTCGACCTGGGGGCTGCTCCCCCTGCTGGGGCATGGTGGACGGTGGCGGGGCCTGGAAAAGGCCTGTGTGGGGTTCGCGTCCTCTTTGTGCGATTCCGAGGGAAGGAAGCTGTTGCCGGGCTGCCCTGATCCACCCCCCACCCCACCCCTGAGCCAGCTCTGCCACTTTCGTGGTACCAGGTGGAGCCTGTGGGGTCGGGGTATGTGGGGCTCCCTGGGCCTGGTCTGCACTAAGGCTGTCCCTGGGGAAGGCTGTGCAGAGAGGAGCTTGGAGAAAAGAGAGGAAGATCAACCATCGCCTTTTCGTGCTTTCTGTGCCGTTGCATGGGGGCCGACTTTTCTCAAGGGCGACTACTTGGAGAGGAGTGTCTGGGCCAGTGGGTCTGAATTGAGAGGCCTGGACTGGGACGGGCTCCCATGCCGCACACTGCAGTCTGCAGGGACACATAAAACATGGACTTTTCAGGTCTCTCTCGAACTTCCTTGTTCGATATGAATGGGGTGGATGAAATAGACCATGATCTCTGGTTTCTCTGAACTGGTGAAGCAGGTCCAACTGGTTACTCTTTCCACGAAAGCTCCACTCTGTGGCCTTGTGGTGCCTCCCAGGCGCTAGGAATGCTCCCCACACTCTGTCCCTAGGACCATGGGGTCTAGGTGACAGGATGGTTGGCATCCCAGGTTGGTTTGTTCCGACAGGATGATGCTGGAGGAATGTCTGCCTGTGTGATCTCGGGATCTGCCTCTGTGCGTATGTCCTGCAGTCCTCACTTCTCAGCACACGGGATCACAGGTGTGCCGATGAAAGGATGGGGGCCCTGTGGGCATCCCTGGGAGTGTCTAGTGAGAGTGGGGTGCAGGCTAGGGTCAGGATCTACAGGTGTATGAGGTGCTGCATGACAGCTAGCATAAGCCCACACCTGACCCTGGGGCTCCCAAACTCCAAGACTGACACCGTCCCCACCCTCAACTGGCTTCTGCCCCAGCTGGCCATCCGGCCCGAATCCTGTGGGTTCTCTTCTCCGTGGGGTGCCGCCTCAGGATACTCATCCGAAGTTTGAATGTCCAGAGTTGAATGTCAACAGAGTGTCTATTTTGTGGTGTGGGGCTATTGCTCTCCTAGGAAGAGTACTGAGGACTGGAGGTCGAGTCACATTTGTGTCTTCTCTTGAGGACTGTGGTCACTGAGTTTCTTTAGTTAGAGCCGGGCGCTCCCTCTCAGGATGGCCCTCGGGGGCCTCCGAGGCAGGAACTGACATAAGCTCCAAGCACGACCTCATGGCACCTCGTTGCCATACAGCAGAGCTGGGGGGTCACTGACTACATGATTTTCATGACTACATGGTTTTCATGATGATGCGACTCTTGATGGTGACTGTAAAGTCTCTCAGGATGAAATCATGCCTGGGAATGTAACAGCTCCCGTGGGCCCGTGCAGTCAGGAGGAACCTGGCCTGGCATTACTGGGACGTCTAAGAAACATCATGGGTTGGCATGGCAGCGTCTCTGCCACCTGTAGCTGCTCTGTGGCCCCACAGCTGCCCTGCCTGTCACAGAATCACTGCTCCCTTCCATTTTGTCTGTTACCATTTTCTCAGTGGTTTTCTGAACCCCAGTGGAAACAGTGTTCTTCCAGGATCTTGTTACTTATCCCCAAGCCTGCCTGCTTCAGCCCCATGTGCCCCTAACATCAGGCTATCCCTTAATAACAAATTATCTAGTGTCAGAGGGTGATCTTTTCACTCTAGTGATTCTTAGGTCAAATGCGGGCTCCCTGAAAATGCTGCCAAAGAAGCCTGCAATGAGCCAAAGCGAGTATATTCTCGACTGAGTCTCTGCAGAGTCACCATTGGGAGGCTGGGGTCTGGGTCAAGCTGGGCCTTCAGTGGGAAGGAGGCTTGGTTCAGATTGGATAAAGGTCTCCAGGCTGGTGGACATTGCAAGTCAAAGAGGTCTGAGGAGACTTTTCATGGAATCTATTGAAAGCCTAGGGTTTACATTTTCTCCCATAAAGTTTCTGAAATGAAAAATAAAATTATCTGCAACTTTTTCTGCGTAGTAGTTTCTTTTTTTCTCTTTATTTTATTAATAAATCTGTAAATCCACTGAATCCCTGTTAAGACAAGAGGATTTCACTTTCACAATTTGACAAAAGCATTCAAAAGTCACCTGTGGGGAAAATGGAGAAAAATAGGACAATTCTGTAAAAACCAGTAATGAAGCGAGGGCAGATCTCAATGTGTAGGAGTTTCTTGAAGTCTCCTGTGACAAGTTGCCTCCTTGACACCTCTGCTTGGAAGTCCCATCTGTCCTTCATAACCATGGCCCACAGGGAACCCCCATCTCA